CGCACACATACGTTTTCAGGTTTTGAAAGTTGTAAATGCATGTTCGTATTAATATCATAGAGCGCAAGAAGGATTCTTTTACTTCTATAATTCATACATTTGAACGAACTAATAAAATTTTTGCTGACAAAATAAGAAGAAAACTTAAGCATTTAAAAATTGAGAAGGAGTAGAAAATTTATGCAACTTAAACAGCTAATCAAATTTTAAATTTTATATTTAATAAACAAAAGTCATTAATAAATTACGCTTTCTACTTCCTTGTACGAAGTAAAAAAGGAGTATTGTAATCGCGAAAAGTTTCAGGCAGCATATTTCAACGAAAATATCCATTTTGACCGCTATCGAATGCAAGTTAACGATGTTTTTGCCTGACATCTGTACCTAAGTACAGAATAAAACACTCTTTTCCTCCAAAAAATTATAAAACTGTTTTATAATGAATTCTGAAGAGAATACTTCTTGGCGTGTGTACGAACGTATGTACGTGCGTACGTACGTATCTCTCATAACTCAAGAAGGCTTAGCCTCAGAACGTTGAAAATTTGTATATAGGACTGCTATAACATGTAGATGTGCACCTTGTATTTTGGTTGCAATCGGCAATTTGGTTTCAATTAGTAAATCTGTATGCAATATTTTTAGAATTATCAACAATTTTAAAGTTGTTTAAGTGCCGCTAAACCTAATAAATTTTTTGATGGCGGCCATTGCTTGTTTACATTTGAAACAGCAGAATAGTGGATTTGTTGCCAATCTAGAGAACTTAGCTTCGCAACAACAAAGATAACGCCTTCATTTATTATTGCGAATTAAATCATGCTTAATCCTTTCTGGAATTTTTTCGAGGAAATAAACGTTTAAGATTTACTTCGTGTGTACACATCAGATTTTTATAATGTTTAACTGTTACTTTTTCATGAAAAATGAGTCTAAAAATGCTTAGAGATAAGAAGATAAATAACTGCACGAGGTTACGTCTATAAAAATTGCTTAGTTAATGATCAAATTATTTTCTTTCACATTTGTTAATCTGATATTGTTTTAATGAAAATTACATGTTGTTTTGTTTCCGTTTATTCTTGAAGTGCCATTAACATTTTCATGTATAGCGTGCAATCAATTTTTTTGATGTCGATTTGTTAGTTATGTAGAAAGTCAGTTACATAAAATGTCACTAAGCAATCTGAAAAACGCATGTATGCGATGTTATCGTCATGCGATGATTTGTAAGTAATTTATTTTTTACCACGATATTTTTCGACGGCGATGTTTTTAAACTGCCAAGTATTTGAACAACTTTGTTTTCGAACAAGATATTTTAGAACTGCGATCTTTTCTCTTTGCGGTGTTTTCTACCACGACGTTTTCGTCCGCGATGTTTTCGGCTGTTACCCTTTCCATACAGTAGATTAAAAATTTGAATTTTTCTTAAGATAAATTCTGTTTAATCATCAAAACAAGTTTGATATTTGCTAAACAATTCTGATTCTAGCTTCGCATGGTCTTTCACAGCTGGAAATACTTTTAGCAATGCTGCCTTGAAATTTCCCCAGTTGTAAGTCTCCGACCCTGGATCCATGAACAAGAACGTGCCAATTCCTTTGTACCAGCTAAGAGCTTGAATTTTTAGGTTCGTCATAGCTATTGTGATTTTCTGTAACTGGTTTACAGGGTAAAATGCAGGTCCAGCTGCTCCAGGAATGTCATCACTGAGGCTTTTCCGTCGAATTTTGCGGCTGGCTTCATTGCGACTCGCATAGTTTCGACGATAAATCCGAATCCTTCCATCGGATTTGTTGAAGTCTGAGATACCTGAAAGGATCGAAGGGATCAATGAAAACTTTTCGTTTTCTAATAGCGTAGTTCATCACAATTATTCGAGCGCCAATGTAATGTTCCAACCTATAATATACAGCTAAATGTGTGGACCCTTCAGAACTGGTAAGAGAATAATCGCTTTAGTTCAGTAGACAGAGAACAGAGCTCAGGAAGGGTTAAATACCCTTTATTTCTCAAAATAAAAATCTAACAGTTGACTCCTTCTCAGAGTTTATAGCAAAGTCTCCACTTGGGCTTGAACTCAGGAATACTAAGAAATAAAGCTTAACTAAACTTAACTAAAAAGATATAGCCGAAGAGATCACGATTCTACAAGAGTTGGCGCTTAACGCTAACTAAACGGAGAAGCTATCAAGGGCCTAAAGTACGGCCAAGCGTAAAAATAGCTTTAGAAAGAGTATATCCAAAGGGCGAACGCGCACTGGTCGAAGTCTCTGGCTCCTGAAGTCAGTAGAACTTCAACTTTAAATACTTTCTCTTCCTTCATTTGCATTTAACCGCGATTCTGAGAACACGAGTGGAAGGAAATTGTAAGCTGAAATTAAAAAAGATAGAAAAGTAGCTTTAACTCAAAATTAACTGTTAAAAACTTAGGATAAACCTTACAAATTATATTTGTTAGTTTTTAACATTTTCATGAGGACATTAAAAAAGTACTTGTAACCTAAATCGTAAAGAAAAAAGTAAAGCAAAATAAATAAATAAGTAAATAAAAAATCTGAAATGCTTCATATTTTAACATTCACTCAAAAAAGATTTATTAAGGTTTTTTACTCTCTCCCTGAGTTCGCAGTCTACCGGTATGCTGTTACACTCACTCATACTACTAATTTAGAATTCAACAGCAAAATTTCAAAAAATTTAAAAGCCGCATAGCAGTATACGTTTAGAATTACAGATGCAGTGTTACACTTTTAGTTTTACAAAATATGAAATAGAAAACAAATCTGAAAGGTTTCAGATTTTTAACGCTCTCCCAGAAGGGTTCGCTAAGGTCTTGTACGGCCTCGCTGAGCTGGTGACTATCAGCCTGCTATTATAGTCACTCTACCAAACCAGTTTTCCTTTTTGTCTTTTTTACTTTATTATTAAGCATCATTTTTTTACACTTAGGACATTTACAATCCAACAGAGAAATTACAAAAATTTTAAAAGCAGCATAACAGTATACGTTTACAATTCCCTATGCAGCATTAAGTGTTGTCATACATATTTTTCTGTTTTTATCAGTCTTTTCTCCGTTCATCTACAAAACGTTTTATTGTCTTTTTATTATTAACGTTTGTTTGTTTACTTTATTTATCAACTATCACGTTATTGGCCCTTACGCTATATAAAATTCGATTCAACAGAAAAATCACAAAATATTTAAAAACAGTATATCTTTAGAATTTCTGATAGAAAGTATCGCGAGCTGGAGATAAAAATGTTTTTTTTGGGGGGGGTGGTACTGTGTTTCCACTGCCCGCCTTGCAGTCGTTGAGTTTGTTAATCAAAAACTCTTTAAAGTTTTACAAAATATGACAATAAAACAAATTCCAAACACAGGCTTCCAGATGCCCATGTTCGGATGAAGGACGACGTTATTCAAAATTTGATGGCTCTAAGCACCGTTTTTTTCATAACGCGAGAAACATGCACACATTCATGCAGATTCTTCATTATTAAATTTTTTTTAATATAATACAGGGTGAAAATATTTGGTAGAAACAAAAGTTATACGATATTTGTTGTGTTTCAACGCAAAATGCCGTTTCGAGACTAATACCCCATTTGGAACTAACGTTCTTTTTGGGCTAATAATCTGCAATCTGAAAAACTTCAGATTACAGCCTGATACACTGAAGAGTTTAACCTTCTATGCTTCAAGAAACTAAAAAAGTAGTTCAGAAGTTAAAAGTATATAAATAATAAGTTTAAAAAGGAATTGCAATCTCATCTCGGTGTGCAGATTTCAGTTTAATACCTGAGATATATTTTTAAAGCAATAGTTGCGATAGGCTCATTATTTAATAATTAGAAGCTAGAAATTGTACGTTAAAGAAACTGTTATGATATTATTTTTTCATAAATTACCACTGTGTAGAGGCTTAAGTGCTTATTTAATAAAGAAAAGATTTAATTATACATGATATATCAACGTATTTAGTTCATTGAATCGATTACAAGGTTTATTAACAATTATTTTTCTCAAATAACAATAATTTCTATTTTAAAGGCCCCTAATCTATAATCTGAAAAAAAACTTCAAAACGACTTTCTCAGAAAAATTATTAATTTTAACTGTTAACAAAATTAAGATAAGAATACCTATGAAGGAGAAAATATACATGTGACACGAATAACACGTTTAACACGAATTCGACTTTTCTTTTATTTGCATCATCACGAGTTGTGGCTGATATTGTTAACACAAGAGTGCGAGTTTATGTTTCGAATTCGGTTCTAATAAAAACGTTATTTAAATCTTTATTCTAGTCTAGTTATTTAAATTCTTTGGATTTTGTAGTTACATCTACATAGCGATAATTTGCTTATGAGACTAATTAGCACCACCAGATTATAGAAAATCCTACACATACTTTGCAGCTGAAGGCTATTTTGTTAATTATTTACTTTGGAGAATTATTAATGTTGCATCAATTGTAGCAAAGAATACAAATGCGGTGCAGCTTCTTGTTAGCTATACTTTCGAATATGCGTTAATGAACGTTAAAAATTTCATGTTTTCACTATAGAAATAAAATGTCAAGTCAGTCATAACTGGGATTTCTTAAAATAGTTTCTGTATTGCCTGTATATTTGCATATTTTACTAATTGAATACAATAGGTATTACTCAAGACTTTATCTCAAGGTTCATACTCACTATCGTTATCTCTAGAATCTCCTCTGAATTAATATCTTGTTTGATATGCGCAAGACATCTAAGATTGTAGAAGGCTACAATAAAATAAACTCAGTTCCATGTGAAAACTGTCCAGAATTCTTGTGGTTTCGCAATGTTTGGGCTTTCTTGCTATTTCTTCTTGCAAAGCAAGCATCCATCAAAAACTGAAGATAAGAGAGTGGAGGAACAGCTTCTCGAAAAAGCTGGGGGCACTCAGCATTTCGCTACTCACCCAATGACCTCGGGGGTATTCTGACGTCATGTACAAAAGTATCCTATAGAGAACAAAGGCAGCCTTTAGGGATACATATAAAAGTCACAAAAATATTCTGTTAAAATATTCTTCAAGTTTTCCAGAATCAGCATACTTTCAGAATATTTGTGTGCCATTGAAAGATCTATTTCATCATGAAGTTCCTAGTAAGCACAAATTAATTTTTTTATTCTTTTATAGGTAATTTAAATTGGTACTTCAATAAAAATTAGCTAAGCATTTCATAATAACATCATAAATATAAAACAAGTTAAACTGGTAATGAAAGTAATTTATGAAAAAAATTAAAAAATCTGAAAGCTTTCAGATTTTATATTACACCCAAAGAGGCTTTTTTTAACGTTTTATGTGTTACCTTTATTTATTAAATATCATGTTCTTTGCACTTAAATCATAAAATTCAATTCAACAGCAGTATCACAAAGTAATTTTAAGATGAGCATATCTTTAGAATTTCCGATGTACAGTCTCGTGCGCTGGAGATAAAAATGTTTTTTTTTTTTTTTTTACCCGCACTGCTCGCTTTTAAATCGTTTAGTTTCTTGTCATCATAATGTTTAATGTAAGTAATGTCATAGTAATGTAATAATGCTTTACTCCTATCTAATACCCTTAGGGTATTATAATAGCATTATAATTTCTCACCTTATGATGTTCTAAAACTAAGTGAAATACTGTTGATTATTATTGAAAATCGAACGTCGTGGCAGTTTTAAGAATTTATGTTTCAGAACGACTTGCTGAAAATAACGAATTCTTTTACCATTATCCGTTATTTATCCATAAAATTTATCAGTTCTCTTTATTATTTTATAAATGATTATAATGCTTTCCTTCATAACTGATATTAATGAGGTATACGAAGCAATGATCAATGTCTTTCATGAAAGCAAGTACAGCATGAAATATAAATTATGCTACAGAATTAATAGAAATGCTTGGCACTTCAAGGAATTGTCTTTGGATTTAAATTACCTATAAAGTTATCCGCTTAATAATTTTATAAATGGTTGTAATGTAAAATTTCATTCATATATGATATCAGTGACATAGATGATGATGAAGATGAAGTAATACCTTTCATAGAAACCCGGAATGCATGAAATGCAAATTGTGTTTAGGAACCAATTTCCTTCAAAAATTGTGAACACCTTTTTATTCGCTGAAACTGTATTAGGAACTTATTATGGGCAAAAAAAAAAGGTCAACGAAGAAGACTTCGTAATATATTTCATAGGAATAATTTGTCATTTCTGCTTCACATAGTAAAAATTAGGAATTCCTTTCAACCAACCTAAAAGAGTAGAGCTTAAGATGATTTTATGGTAATTATCTGCTAAAACTCAGCGATTTCAAATCAAAATTTATAATTTGCCTTAAAACTGTCAGTACTCGAAGTATGATAAATTTATTGTAATTTGTATTCACTTCCTTTAATTGTATGGGTAACAAGTAAGGAAAAAATGGCTAAAAATAAGTTCTCTTAAATATCAAATACAGAAGACTAAGAAAATTTTAAATATCAACCTTGTCTTTTGATTTTTATATAAAGATCAACAATTTGCGACAATAATTTACTTTCCTCATAGTTTTAAAATTCCCACCAGAATTTCCTGTTTTAAATGCAAATAGTAGTTATAAAATATTTAACGTTATTATCTTGTAAAATAATTACTTATTATGCTAATTAAAGATATTTAAAAGTATTAAGTATGCTAATTAAAGATTTTTAAAATTAAGAGTAACTAATTAAAAGTAAATTAATTATAATTAAATTGGCTCTACTAATGGCGGAGTAGATAAGACCGCTGAATGATAATAGCTTGATCTAGGCTCGAATCTAGGCGAATGAGGAGGCTGCATGGTCGGGTTTTGTGGTTTTCCCCAAGTGTAACGTGAATGAGAGTCTTAGTAGCACAAATGGCAAGTGTTTTCCCTTAGAAAGTCCCCCTCGAAGGGCTTCCTTTCCTTAGGCAGTTATGCCTTGTGTGCTTTACTATGTTCCAATAATCTAACCTTATAATTAAAATCAATATAATTCAAGCAAGCATTATCTCGCTTAAATGATTTTGCAGTTTATTAAATAAGATTTAATTCTTTACTCAAAGGTATATAAAAATAAAGTCCAGATCGCTTTCCTCTAACTCGTGAACTGCTAATAAATTTATATACGGCTTAGCAGAAAATAGATCGACATAAAATGGGGGAAAAATTCCTTTTCTTTAAATCACTTAACTATTCAAAGATTAAATTTTCCATAAATAAAAGAAGTAATGAAGGACGTATTAGGAAACGATTCTTCTTATTACTATAATTTTAAATTTCTTTACTTTTTTAATTCATTATTTTCTTTATTTTTTATTTGTGCCTCATTACCTTGCAAAAGAAGAGATAATACATCATACCTTAACAAAATTAATAAAAAATTATGAAGACAACGCTTCCAAAAATTATTAAACAAAGTACGAGTATTTCGCTGCTTCCTTTGCTCAAAAGAATATATTTATGATTAAAACAATTCGGTACTAAGAGAAAAAATAGCAGTGTTTTCAGTGACAATACTACTTCTCCATAAAAAGTTGCAAATTTAGTTATTGACTTTTAGAAGAATTTCGTTAAAGGCTTAGTGGAGAAGCTTCGTATTATTTTGTTGAAACCTATCTGTAGCAAAAATAATATTTATAAAACCAGAATGTTAATATATTTCAATTTCAAGAATTATTAAATAAAATGCAGACTTCGGAGTCACACGTTTTAACTATTCCCTGCATTTATTTTACTTTTGGTTAGGGTATCGTCCTTCATAAAACTTCAATTCCTTTTTTTATTTGATTCGCACCTTAATAAAGTCCCCATCTGTACATTTGAGATCTTACAATTTTTAGCGCAAATTGCCAGTTATTTATTCGATATATATCTACCGTTAAGTCTAAATTTCAAGACATAGATACTAATTAATAAAAATTTTGGGCGACACTAACCTCGCAAAATTCAGTAGAACCAAAAGCATTCTGGTATTTCCTCTTAAAGTGACAAGTATATTGAGGAGATAAAAACTCGTTGCACAGGGTCATTCTGACACTTTGGGTACCCCATTTCATTCCTGATAATAGTTTTACGTACTCAGGTTTATATTCTTGCTTTCGTAGAAAGAAATAAAGTAATTTCTAAAAATACTGAATATGAATGCATATCTGCGTTAACTTTCTTTGAATACTTTTCTTTTATAATTACAGCTTCCTAAGTTTAGGCAACTGCATAATTATGAATAATTTTATTTCTTTCAGAATAGGGTAAATTAGTCAACTATAATTTAAGTTATATGGTAATAATGTAAGAAGCATCTAGAAGGACAATAATACATTTATATTGGTTTTTCCAGCATAATATCGGTTGTAGAAAGCTTCATTAAATGCATATAGTTATATGACTTAAGAGATTGCTTTGATATAATTATTTACACTGTCGATAAAAATAAAACGAATAACTTTTCGATGAATTTTAAATGCAGAGTGTTTTATTCAGATGCTTATCAAAATTAATTACCTTGCATTCTGAGCCTGTTGCAGTTTACTAGTGATAATTGGTGTTTATAAATGTAAAACTATTTCTTATATATGAAAAATCAAAACATATCATATTAAAATCATAATCGTAATTAACATACCATGTTAAAATCATAAATGTATTTTTTTTTACTTTAAACTAATAGTTTCCTCAGAAATCAGAGCATTTATAATTAAAGATACTTCTAAAGATACTTCTAATTTCTTACTAAAGATACTTCTAATTTTACAGCAGGATTGTAGAAAGCTTTAATGTTTTTGAAATATGACTATTATTTACTCGCCTTCTTAAACCTTAAGGCATTGTTGTTTCTTAAATTACGCAAATTTAGATTTTCGTTAAATTTAGAGAAATACTCTCTGCATTTCTGTGGAACGCAAAAGGATAAAAATTTGTTTCTCGTAAAAAAAAAAAAAATGAAACTCTGTTAGACGAATTATTAGCATATATCCGTGGTTGAATATCTAAAGTTAGAATTTTATCTGTCAACATTGCTCGTGGGGATTTTTTGGCGAAATACAAGCCATTCTTATTTGGATCTGAAGTGAATGTTTCCGATAGTTTCATTTACTTATTAATTTTATTATTCCAGAAATGCTAACCTTTAAAAACGGCTGATAGTTTATAAGCTCGAATTTTGAGTAACTTTAAGTGTTCATGAATTTCATATCATAGTAATATGATTATACGTATTTATCACGTTACTCTCGTTACCATAATGAAAATTTTTTATTTGCGAAGGTTGCAAGAATTTACTTTATGTAATCTGTAAGAATATATTCTATTTATAATTTATTCCACGGTTCTTTTGCATTTATGCAAAAGAACTCTTATTTTTCACTGTCATAATATATATAATATATATATGTGTGTGTGTGTATATCATTGAATCATCATTCACTGAATTTATATCATTGAATAGTGTCTGATTTGTTGCCTATACTAGAAAGCTCTGTGGTAATACGTAGACTTGTTTTATTAAGCTTTCTTTTATACTGGGTCTATAGATACTGCTCTAAAGTTTCAGAATCAAAGTGCGTGAGGAAGACATATTAATATCTATATTTCCAATGCAGCCAGTAACAAAATAATTGTTTAAATTTCCTACAATTGTAAATGGAAAAGAAACACTCCTATATAAAAATTAAACTGAAAAAAGTAATCTAAAATTTTCACAGGTTTTAAATGAAATTTTATTGATTTCAAGAGTTCGCTTAGAAGAAAAATATTTTTGTTTCTTCAGGAAGCGGATTTATGTCAGATCTAATTCGATATTATTACAATTTATTTAAAATCTGCTCTAATCAGAGATTGCTTTTATGCCTGAATTTAACTCCTACATTAAATATTTCTCATTACCAGCTAAATTTTAAAAGAGAGATTAATCAGCAAAATTTTTAAGCGCATAGAAAATATACGTCATGGAACAAATACGGCAAAGCAGTAATTTATTTAATAATCATTTAACTTTATAAGGTATTTCTCCCGCCTTCTTTTGGCATGCCTTCGTGGTGTGGTTGTCTACACGCTCAGCGCGTAATTGAGAGGTGCGTGGTTCGATTCCCGGCAAAGGCGTTTG